TTAACCTTTCACTCACTTTTATTAAGTGCTAAAACTGGTGAATATAGCAGTATGTTGAAATGCTAATGCTAACTGGTAGCACATTTACTGTAAGTTTCTATGGTTACCAGCGCTTGCTCTTCTCTACTCCATTTCAAAATGAAAAAATGTCATAAAAACATTGACATAGACATACATAAAGAAACATAAGTTATGAAGATCAAAAAATGTATATTAGCTGATTAACGACATGTAGAAAACTAAAAGCTGTCAAAGTGACTGCTCTGGGAGTTTGAGTGTTAAAGTGAAGTTTTTTCAGCCGTCTGAAGTGAACTCGTCACAACATCGAGAGCTGCTTTTACCACGTTCTGCTGAGAATTACACGGAAAAATTGAGAAAGTAACAGGCTTTTTCTGCTCCACTTCTTCATTTTTCATTTGAACCGAAGTCGAGCAAAGGTTTTCACGTCAATGTTGTGCTGAAAGCTGTAATTACATCGGCGCAAATCAGAAGAATGTTATTTCTAAAGTGGATAAATGCCACACGCAGAGACCCGGGGAGAGGCTAATGCTAACTGGACTCACCCCTAACGAAAGGTGGGATTTTATAAACGACTGAATGTTATATTTAGAATTTTTATATTATTATATAAAATATTATAATATTTAGAAGAACAAAGTCAGGTTCAGATCTGTGGCGAGGGATGAATGGACAATTTAATTTAAAAAACTGAAATAATAAAATCAAATGCAGGATTCAAAATTGATTCTCTGCTAAATGGATTGTAGAAAACTGTTGTTAGTAATGCAGGATGTGCTCTTACTTCAGGACCAGAGGTGGAGGAGTATTCCTTTTGTAAATGTTTTTAGAGGGAGGTGAAACCGCAGCACCTGGAGGAAACACACGCAGACACAGGGAGAATATGCAACCTCTACGCAGACCATGGATCTGTGTAGAAAAATCTGTGTGCTAGTAAAACTGTGGTTTTACTAGCTTATAGCTGTCCCACCCATGGGCACGTGGGCTACCCAGAAAAAAGTCCCATAGAACTCAATGTAAACTAAAACAGCTCGACCTCAGCTGACAGAGAACCTGACAGAGAACCTAAAGCTTTCATTAAGATTGTTTTTTGTGGGGATTTTAGTGTCCCTTGTCGCCCCAAACTTTTTTTCTTCTTAAATTCTTTGGTTGCGCAACGCATCATAGGAGCTCGTCCACTGCGCAAAACCGGGAGAACTAGACAATGCCCAACAATGGGCGAGTTCTGCTAATCATGAAGTCCTATGCGCTACTGAGCACAAGCCATTCATTTGAATACGCCGCCATCTTGGGTCACCGGGGCTTGACTCAGACCTGTTGCCCACCAGGATTTGAACCTAGGAGTAATAAGCGCTCCTAGTGGTCTAAACAAGTCATAACAATTTCAACCACACTAGGGCTGCACGATATTGGAAATTTAGAGCGATATTTATTGTTGCCACATTTTTGTATCAGGCATCAGAATCTCCCTGTGATACATGTAGCAGCCAAGCACCGATTACAGATGCAATCCACCTGCTGGGGTTTAGATGCACTGGTGAATATGTAATCCAGCCACATTTCACTGACACACAGAGCGCCTGGAGAATCCGTTGGTCCCGCGGTGGTCCAGTGGATGTCCCTTTGGCAGCTCCCCCATTGGGTCACCCCTCCCCCCTCCCTCTGGACAGATGTGATGACGTAACCAGCAGCCAATCAGCTCTCTGCTCTGCCCACGGTCCCACCTCTCGTCCTTCTCTGCGGCTGCATTAATCTGACGGACTCTGACCCACATCACAACATCTGCTCTTCACCTCGATACAGAAGCAAAGTCCACGGACCGATCGGACGATTAAAGCTCGGGGTCGTAACTTGTCGGTCTCATGTGGTTTGTCTCAACAGAAAGAGTCTCGTAAAAGTAAAATGTTAATAAATCAGACCATAACATGCTCTCGTCTTCTTATTATTGGAAAACTTTGTATTTTTTGTGTAAAGAGCCCCTTTTTGGGCTGAGATTTGATTGGAGTGAGGACAAATATGCATGCTGGTGAAAAGTATGGAGCAGCGAGAGAGACCAGGGAGAGAGACCAGGGAGAGAGACCAGGGAGAGAGACCAGGGAGAGAGACCAGAGAGGGAGAGACCAGAGAGGGAGAGACCAGAGAGGGAGAGAGGGAGACCAGAGAGGGAGAGACCAGAGAGAGGGAGAGACCAGAGAGAGAGACCAGAGAGAGAGACCAGAGAGAGAGACCAGAGAGAGAGACCAGAGAGAGAGAGACCAGAGAGAGAGAGACCAGAGAGAGAGAGACCAGAGAGAGAGAGACCAGAGTGAGAGACCAGAGTGAGAGACCAGAGTGAGAGACCAGAGTGAGAGACCAGAGTGAGAGACCAGAGTGAGAGACCAGAGTGAGAGACCAGAGTGAGAGACCAGAGTGAGAGAGACCAGAGTGAGAGAGACCAGAGTGAGAGAGACCAGAGTGAGAGAGACCAGAGTGAGAGAGACCAGAGTGAGAGAGACCAGAGTGAGAGAGACCAGAGTGAAGCGAGACCAGAGAGCGAGACCAGAGAGCGAGACCAGAGAGCGAGACCAGAGAGCGAGACCAGAGAGCGAGACCAGAGAGCGAGACCAGAGAGCGAGACCAGAGAGAGAGACCAGAGAGAGAGACCAGAGAGCGAGACCTTATTTGAGCTATATCGGACTGTTGAACGGTGAAGAGGGGAGCAGCGTCTGCAGTCAGAGTCCCCTCCCTCACCTCTGGTCCTGAACTTTGGGTAATGACCCGAAAGAACAAAGTTGCGGATACAAGCCTCACGTTTCCCCCAGATGAGCCGAAGGAAGTGTGAGTGGAGTGGGAAGTCCGGCCACCTCTGCTCAGACTAAAATGGAGGACAAATTTTTGACGTGTGTGAGTTCCACCTGTGGTTTCTCAGGGCGACAAACAAATGCATTTCTTAAACAAAAGCACATTTCTGCTGGTATCTTGTCGGATCACGCGGCTCGCTCCCTCTTCATCCTCCGTCTCCAGCTTCTTTCACACATTTTAATTAGGTTTTCCTTCAGATAAGGCCAGACTTTTGTGTCCAATAACTCGCCGCTCTAATTGCAGGACTTAAAAGCGTCCACATGCGACCAGAGGAAAGACATTAACATTCACCGTCGCCACCGAAACCTGATTTCAAACGCTTGGGGAATTAATTGCTTTCCCAGTTTTCCACAGTGATTATGCGCTTTTAGGTAAATAGACGTTTTATCTGGAAGACGTCCAAAAAAACCAATGTTAAAGCTGGAAATTCTATGATTTTTTTTTTCAGTTGTCATTTTTGTTTGTAAAATGTTCAAATCAGACCTCAGCCGTCTTCATGGGATTAGAAATGTTATGTTTTGTGTCAGAAAGAGCCCTGTGAGTCACTATTTATCTCTCTCTCTGGTCTCTCTCTGGTCTCTCTCTGGTCTCTCTCTGGTCTCTCTCTGGTCTCTCTCTCTGCTCTCTGGTGTCTCTCTGGTCTCTCGCTTGTCTCTTTCTGTCCTCTTTCTGGTCTTTCTCTGGTCTCTCTCTGGTTTCGCTCTGGTCTCTCTCTGGTCTCTCTCAGGTCTCTCTTGTCTCTTTCTGGTGTGGTCTCTCTCTCTGGTTTTTCTCTGGTCTCTCTCTGGTCTCTCTCTGGTCTCTATCTCTGGTCTCTCTCTGGTCTCTCTCTCTGGTCTCTTGTCTCTCTCTGGTTTTTCTCTGGTTTTTCTCTGGTCTCTCTCTAGTCTTTCTCTGGTCTCTCTCTTGTCTCTTGTCTCTCTCTCTCTGATCTCTCTGGTTTTTCTCTGGTCTCTCTCAGGTCTCTCTCTCTTATGTCTCTCTGGTCTCTCTCTCTGGTGTCTCTCTGGGGTCTCTCTGGTCTCTCTCTGGTCTCTCTCTGGTTCGGCCTCCCGACCCCGCTGCGCTCCACACATCTGTAATCTGCTGCTGTCAGATTACCAGCTGCAGGGAATGAGGTTACCACGGCAACGGCCTAATCTGAAAATCCCACATGGAGGTCAAGACGAGAGGGCGAGAGCCGTGGGGGAGAGAGAGAGGGGGAGGCAAGGGTGAGAGAGAGACCAGAGAGAGAGACCAGAGAGAGAGACCAGAGAGAGAGACCAGAGAGAGAGACCAGAGAGAGAGACCAGAGAGAGAGACCAGAGAGAGAGATCAGAGAGAGAGATCAGAGAGAGAGAGAGAGACCAAGAGAGAGAGACCAGAGAGAGAGAGAGAGAGAGAGACCAGAGAGAGAGACCAGAGAGAGAGAGAGACCAGAGAGAGAGAGAGACCAGAGAGAGAGAGAGACCAGAGAGAGAGACCAGGGAGAGAGACCAAGAGGGAGACCAGAGAGGGAGACCAGAGAGGGAGACCAGAGAGGGAGACCAGAGAGGGAGACCAGAGAGGGAGACCAGAGAGGGAGACCAGAGAGGGAGACCAGAGAGAGAGATCAGAGAGAGAGATCAGAGAGAGAGAGAGAGACCAGAGAGAGAGAGACCAGAGAGAGAGACCAGAGAGAGAGAGACCAGAGAGAGAGACCAGAGAGAGAGACCAGAGAGAGAGAGAGACCAGAGAGAGAGAGAGACCAGAGAGAGAGAGAGACCAGAGAGAGAGACCAGGAGAGAGACCAGAGAGGGAGACCAGAGAGGGAGACCAGAGAGGGAGACCAGAGAGGGAGACCAGAGAGGGAGACCAGAGAGGGAGACCAGAGAGGGAGACCAGAGAGGGAGACCAGAGAGGGAGACCAGAGAGGGAGACCAGAGAGGGAGACTATAGTTGTTCCTAGTTTTGTTCCTGGAGTGACTTTAAAGCTGATAATCTCATTTTACATAACATTTTTAGTGTATCGGCCTAAATCACAACAGTTGCGTATCGGAAGACTTCACATAACTGTCGATTGGCCAACACAGATCAGAGAAGCATGAATGGATCAAACTGGTTTTGATGAAGGATCTCGTACAGACTGTTTATAGTGTTCTGAGACTCTGTTCTGGGTCCAGGCGCTGAATGTGGCGGCGGTCAGAGAGGCTCCGCCCAGAATCGACTGGCACGACTACGACGCCATCAAGTGGGACGCGGCCAGATCCGGTAAGACTCTACTGTCTCCCAGGTCTAGTCTCCCAAGTCCAGTCTCCCAAGTCCTTTCCACTAGCCCCGGTCTCTCAAGTCTAGTCTCTCAGGTCTAGTCTCTCAGGTCTAGTCTCTCAGGTCTAGTCTCCCGGGTCCCCAATGTCCGGTCTCCCAGGTCCGCTCTCCCAGGTCCGGTCTCCCAGGTCCGGTCTCCCAGGTCCGGTCTCCCAGGTCCGGTCTCCCAGGTCCTGTCCTCGAGGTCCAGTCCCCCCTAGGTCCGGTCCCCAGGTCTTGTCCTTGAAGTCTGGTCCTCCAGGTCCGGTCTCCCAGATACGGTCTCGCAGGTACAGTCTCCCAGGTACAGTCTCCCAGGTCCAGTCCTCCACATATGGTCCTCAAATTTCAAATCCAATTATTTTTGTATCGCCCTACATCACAACAATCTTACCTCTGGGGACTTTACAGAGTTATCTATTCACCAACACAGATTAGAGAATCACACAGTTACAATGATAAAGTGAGAAACCTCGGGCAGGCCAGTATTGACTGAGGAATCCGGGCCCACAGACTGACAGACTTTGAACCCAGGAGTCAGGCTGTAGAACGAGGACCGAGGCCACGCGCTGCCGGACTGAGCTCTGACCTCTCCCTGGAGTCTCCCTCTCGGTTTGCGTGGGAACTGTCGCTGAGTATTTCCCGTGTGTGTTGTCTAGGTAACGGCGAGCAGGGCAAGGCCTTCCCTCTGAGCGACGCAGACCGAGTGGACCAGGCCTACAGAGAAAACGGATTCAACATCTACGTCAGCGACCGCATCTCACTGAACAGGTCTCTGCCGGACATCCGCCACCACAAGTGAGTGTTCTGTAGATACAGTGCCTTGCAAAAGTATTCGGCCCCCTTGAACCTTTCAACATTTCGCCACATTTCAAGCTTCAAACATAAAGATATAGAAATTAAATTTTTTGTCAAGAATCAACGACAAGTGGGACAAAATCGTGAAGTGGAACGAAATTTATTGGATAATTAAAACTTTTTTAACAAATAAAAAACTGAAAAGTGGGGCGTGCAATATTATTCGGCCCCCTTGCGCTAATACTTTGTAGCGCCACCTTTTTCTGCAATTACAGCTGCAAGTCGCTTGGGGTATGTCTCTATCAGTTTTGCACATGGAGAGACTGGAATTCTTGCCCATTCTTCCTTGGAAAACAGCTCGAGCTCAGTGAGGTTGGATGGAGAGCGTTTGTGAACAGCAGTCTTCAGCTCTTTCCACAGATTCTCGATTGGATTCAGGTCTGGACTTTGACTTGGCCATTCTAACACCTGGATACGTCTATTTGTGAACCATTCCATTGTAGATTTGGCTTTATGTTTTGGATCATTGTCCTGTTGGAAGATAAATCTCCGTCCCAGTCTCAGGTCTTTTGCAGACTCCAACAGGTTTTCTTCCAGAATGGTCCTGTATTTGGCTCCATCCATCTTCCCATTAATTTTAGCCATCTTCCCTGTCCCTGCTGAAGAAAAGCAGGCCCAAAGCATGATGCTGCCACCACCATGTTTGACAGTGGGGATGGTGTGTTCAGGGTGATGAGCTGTGTTGCTTTTACGCCAAACATATCGTTTTGCATTGTGGCCAAAAAGTTCGATTTTGGTTTCATCTGACCAGAGCACCTTCTTCCACATGTTTGGTGTGTCTCCCAGGTGGCTTGTGGCAAACTTTAAACGAGACTTTTTATGGATATCTTTGAGAAATGGCTTTCTTCTTGCCACTCTTCCATAAAGGCCAGATTTGTGCAGTGCACGACTGATTGTTGTCCTATGGACAGACTCTCCCACCTCAGCTGTAGTTATCTACAGTTCATCCAGAGTGATCATGGGCCTCTTGGCTGCATCTCTGATCAGTCTTCTCTTTGTTTGAGATGAAAGTTTGGAGGGACGGCTGGGTCTTGGTAGATTTGCAGTGGTCTGATACTCCTTCCATTTCAATATAATTGCTTGCACAGTGCTCCTTGAGATGTTTAAAGCTTGGAAATCTTTTTGTATCCAAATCCGGCTTTAAACTTCTCCACAACAGTATCTCGGACCTGCCTGGTGTGTTCCTTTGTCTTCATGGTTCTCTCTGTGCTTTAAACAAAACCCTGAGACTATCAAAGAGCAGGTGCATTTATACGGAGACTTGATTACACACAGGTGCATTCTATTTATCATCATCAGTCATTTAGGACAACATTGGATCATTCAAAGATCCTCACTGAACTTCTGGACTGAGTTTGCTGCACTGAAAGTAAAGGGGCCGAATAATATTGCACGCCCCACTTTTCAGCTTTTTATTTGTTAAAAAAGTTTAAATTATCCAATACATTTCGTTCCACTTCACGATTGTGTCCCACTTGTTGGTGATTCATGACAAACAATTAAAATGTTATATCTTTATGTTTGAAGCCTGAAATGTGGCGAAATGTTGAAAGGTTCAAGGGGGCCGAATACTTTCGCAAGGCACTGTACACATCACTGCTATACACATGTACACACAATACTGCTATACACATGTACACACAATATTGCTATACACATGTACACACAACACTGCTATACACATGTACACACAACACTGCTATACACATGTACACACAATATTGCTATACACATTAGAAAATTATTTCTGGTCAGTATCGTAATATTTTCCGCACACAGTTAAATCCATACTGTAGATTTAACTCATTTCCTCCTGGGGTTTCTGTTCCTCTATGACAGCGGCTCCTAACAAAATGGCCGCCCCATTGATGACGTCACAATATGCAAATTCAATGATAAATCAACTTCCATCCCAAAGTTTGGTTCATCTTTTGAAATCTTGAAATCCAAATTGTATATTTTCTCCGGCGCCTAAACGGTTAAGAATCACAATAATATTGGATTGTGGCCCGAATATTACAATAATATACTCCGTCTTATTATTTTTGCCAGTTCGCAGCCCTGACACACACACACACACACACACACACACACACACACATACACATACATATGCACATGCGCACACGTACACATGCACACATTGGTGAACCGGTCAAAGCTGTCGGTTAAAAAAAGAAAAGGGGGAGAGGGGAGGTCTCTTAATATCGCTGTTTTAAACGCTATTTGCACGATGTGACGAGCGGGTCTGTCTCTAGCTGTGTGCGCCAATGTATTAAACTCCGAGCCGACTTTCATGCCGCACGCGCCGCGCACACACACACACATTCACGCACGCACACACTACATTGGAGCATACATACATATACACACATACCGGTCTGTCACGCTCCTCTGTGTCACGTAGCCCAAATACGCGGCTTCAGTCAGACTACATAGGAACACGTTTGTGCTTATGGTCCTTGTCATTTAATCAGTTCCACACACATCACTGTATTTAAACTTTAGCGGAGACCTGCGAGACGCGTCACACTCTGCTCTGACCATGTGGACGAGCCGTCGTTTGCTGCTAAAGAGCTCTAACCCGCAGCACAGAAGAACGGGAAGATTAAAACAGCAGTTCTCTGTGCGCAAAGGTGCCGAAGCTGTTGCGGGTTTTGGCGCCGCTGTCTCAACTCTGATCCAGTAGAACGCAGAGCTGCACTTATGAGAAGTACGCGGCTCGAAATGGCTGTTATTTCAAAGAACATGGAATATTTAAAACTACGCGGTTAACCAGTTTCAACCGGTTAATGTGGCTCGGTGGTCGGTCATGAAAATTCATAGTTTTTTACATCCCTAACACACACACACACATACACATACACACACACATACACATGCATACATACACGTACACATACACACACATACACATACACATACACACACACATACACATGCATACATACACGTACACATACACACACATACACATACACATACACACACACATACACATGCATACATACACGTACACATACACACACATACACAGGTGAGTGACAGCTGTGTAACACTGCTGTATAGACACATCTTTTCTCATTGTTACATTTAGTTTTGAGTGTTCAGTCGTTAAAATGGACTCGTGGGCGTTTAGAGGAAGCGAGGACACACGGCCGGCTGTTGTTTTGCTAAATCATTTACATATGAGGTAATTACTCCACCCACACACAAACTTTTTAAAGGACAAAGTGGAAACAATTAAAACCACGATTGTCTTTGTCCATTTTGTTGAATTAAGTTTATAGCCCAGAGCTTTTCAATTACGTTTTCGCCGAAGGGGATTCTTGCGTCCAACGAATTCACAATTTCAATGTATTTGTGCACAGCTCTCAATCACAACAACAGGCCCCTGGGAGGACTTTGCAAAGTTGTCGCTTGGCAGTCAGCAGATCAGAGAATCAAACAGTTGGAACACTGGACATGCAATGATAACAAACACATGCACTGGTCTGAAAAATGTGTCTGGAATTTCTCAAATTTCTGCAAAAAATCACAATTAAATGTGATCTGATCTTTCTCAGAATCACACAGATAAAAAAACAGTTTCAGCTTTAACTAAAACCGCCCAAACGTGGAGATTTAAGTCATGTTTTGAATGAGGATAACATGCAAACAGTGGCAGAAGGGGGAGGACTAAGTAACTGAACTATTGTATTTAATAATCATTTTTTTATATATAACACTTTTCTGGACACTGAAAGACGCTTCAGATGTCATTATTCACTCTCTCCAAACACGGTGGAGATAAACTACTACTAGCCACAGCTGCCCTGGGGCACACTGACAGAAAACGTAATTGAAAAGCTCTGGGCTATAAACTTATTTAATTAAAATGGACAAAGACAATTGTTGTGGTTTTAATTGTTTCCACTTTGTCCTTTAAACAGTTTGTGTGTGGGTGGAGTAATTACCTCATATGTAAATGATTTAGCAAAACAACAGCCAGAGTGTGTCAGAGTCACAAAAACAGACATCATAAACCAGGGGTGTCCAAATAATTTAGTAAGAGGGCCACTTTAGTTCACCAGACTAGTCCAGGGGCCGACGTCACGGACTGAAAAATAGTTTTCACTGGCATTGGCTGTTCTGCGCTTTATGATGATCTATAACGAAGCTGAAGTTGGCTGAATGACAAATGGCTCAAGTCAACGACTGAATTCCAGACGTGCTGGGCTTTAGAACAAGGTGCAACATGTCTATATTGGCTGAGCTGAAGTTGGATGGATGACTGAGTTATTTTGTGTTTATTATCTCAAAGACTACTTTGGGTTAGCGAGGCAGAAGGCCACATACAATGACAATGAGGGCCGCAATTGGCCTCTGGGCCTGAGTTTGGATATGCCTGTCATAGAGGAACCTAAGCCTCGAGCTAGTGAGTGAGTGAGTGATATTCTAGTAGAAGTTGGGGAGCTTTATTTATTGGTATTAAATGTAATGTTTTGTGAATTATGTTATTTAAAGCCTGTAAATGTAAGACACATCCATCCATCTACATTGTAATCAGTTTAAATGAATATAACACCAGCCTGCCCAGGGACTACAGGTGGAAATTAGCATCTTTGCTATAACCTGCTACATGCATCTCTCCTTTGTGTTAATGTTTAATTGTACACTGTCCCTGTTCAAATAAAGTACATACCATACCCTTCAGCTTCAGCCATAAAGGGGATAACAAGTCCACTAGATGATAGCTAGTGTTACAAGCAAGGTAATGTTTGCTCATCACAAATATAAAGTCTAGGTGACATTTGCCGCAGATTATTACCCCGTTTTATTTCAATGACTTGCAGCGAAAAACAATACATCACAGTAAATACATTATTACTCAACATTGCTAATAAATATTAATGCATCATGTATACTGTAGCTAGTTAGCGCCAATCCACTGAAAGCTGTTAGCCAAGGAGACGAGTCGAGGCTAATACATCCATGGTCGAAACGCTCTGAACCAACGCAAAGCTCATTGAGCCAATGAAACGCTTCGAAACACTGACACAGTTGATTCAAAGTGGAGCAGTGGCGACAGTGTTCGAGACCCTCACACGATCTGGAGCCGCGGTAATGTTTTCTCATCACAAATAAAATGTCTAGGCTACTATTGGCGCAGATTATTACTAATTTTTATTTCAATGAATCACTGCGTTACAGCAGGTGTCTCCGGCCTTTTTCACCCAGAGAGCTACTTTCCCGGGGTAGAGGTAGAGAGCTAATCCTTTTCTACCCCTGGGAAAAAATGTTGATATATTGGCGTGAACGAGCCTGATATTGAGTAAAGTCAATATTTATCATCACATATTTGTTACTAGTGATAAAATAAGTGCATTTACAATAATAAATAATGATAACAAATAATACAATCTGAAATATTAAGTGTATTATTTGATTTGTTAATTTCTAACAACATGTAAATTTCTCCTCTGTGAGATAAATAAAGCACATCTTATCTTATCTTATCTTATCTTAAATCCTTTGGCGAGCTACCTGGAAGCGGGTGGCGAGGTACTGTGGCACCTGGTGTTCACAGAGGTCTCCCATCACAGTACTAACCAGGCCCTGCCCTGCTTAATTGTTGGTTGCCTTCAATTCTGCAGAAGGTTCAGTTATGGTCAGAAGTTTCACGTGTTGTTGTGTTGTTGTGTTGCCGTTGTGTGTCCAGCTGTGGTCAGAAGTTGTACTGGGAGAAGCTGCCCAACTCCAGTGTGATCATCCCGTTCCATAATGAAGGCTGGTCGTCTCTGCTGCGGACCGTCCACAGCGTCCTGAACCGCTCGCCACCGCAGCTCATCCACGAGGTCATCCTGGTGGACGACTTCAGCGACAAAGGTACACAGGTGGATGGATGGATAGGTAGATATATAGATGGGTGTATAGATGGATGGGTAGATAGGTAGATAGAAGGGTAGATGGATGGATGGGTGGATAGATAGATAGATAGATACAATGCCTTGCGAAAGTATTCGGCCCCCTTGAACCTTTCAACATTTCGCCACATTTCAGGCTTCAAACATAAAGATATAAAAATTTGATTTTTTGTCAAGAATCAACAAGTGGGACACAATCGTGAAGTGGAACAAAATTTATTGGATAATTTAAACTTTTTTAACAAATAAAAAACTTAAAAGTGGGGCGTGCAATATTATTCGGCCCCCTTGCGCTAATACTTTGTAGCGCCACCTTTTGCAGCAATTACAGCTGCAAGTCTCTTTTGCACATAGAGAGACTGGAATTCGTGCCCATTCTTCCTTGCAAAACAACTCGAGCTCAGTGAGGTTGGATGGAGAGCGTTTGTGAACAGCAGTCTTCAGCTCTTTCCATAGATTCTCGATTGGATTCAGGTCTGGACTTTGACTTGGCCATTCTAACACCTGGATACGTCTATTTGTGAACCATTCCATTGTGGATTTGGCTTTATGTTTTGGATCATTGTCCTGTTGGAAGATAAATCTCCGTCCCAGTCTCAGGTCTTTTGCAGACTCCAACAGGTTTTCTTCCAGAATGGTCCTGTATTTGGCTCCATCCATCTTCCCATCAATTTTAGCCATCTTCCCTGTCCCTGCTGAAGAAAAGCAGGCCCAAACCCTGATGCTGCCACCACCATGTTTGACAGTGGGGATGGTGTGTTCAGGGTGATGAGCTGTGTTGCTTTTACGCCAAACATATCGTTTTGCATTGTGGCCAAAAAGTTCGATTTTGGTTTCATCTGACCAGAGCACCTTCTTTCACATGTTTGGTGTGTCTCCCAGGTGGCTTGTGGCAAACTTTAAACAAGACTTTTTTATGGATCTCTTTGAGAAATGGCTTTCTTCTTGCCACTCTTCCATAAAGGCCAGATTTGTGCAGTGCACGACTGATTGTTGTCCTATGGACAGACTCTCCCACCTCAGCTGTAGTTATCTGCAGTGCATCCAGAGTGATCATGGGCCTCTTGTCTGCATCTCTGATCAGTCTTCTCCTTGTTTGAGATGAAAGTTTGGAGGGACAGCCGGGTCTTGGTAGATTTGCAGTGGTCTGATACTCCTTCCATTTCAATATAAGTGCATGCACAGTGCTCCTTGAGATGTTTAAAGCTTGGGAAATCTTTTTGTATCCAAATCCGGCTTTAAACTTCTCCACAACAGTATCTCGGACCTGCCTGGTGTGTTCCTTTGTCTTCATGGTTCTCTCTGCGCTTTAAACAGAACCCTGAGACTATCAAAGAGCAGGTGCATTTATACGGAGACTTGATTACACACAGGAGCATTCTATTTATCATCATCAGTCATTTAGGACAACATTGGATCATTCAAAGATCCTCACTGAACTTCTGGACTGAGTTTGCTGCACTGAAAGTAAAGGGGCCGAATAATATTGCACGCCCCACTTTTCAGTTTTTTATTTGTTAAAAAAGTTTAAATTATCCAATACATTTTGTTCCACTTCACGATTGTGTCCCACTTGTTGTTGATTCATGACAAATTAAAATTTTATATCTTTATGTTTGAAGCCTGAAATGTGGCGAAATGTTGAAAGGTTCAAGGGGGCCGAATACTTTCGCAAGGCACTGTATTCCGGTAAAGCCTTAAAAAGTCTTCGCCTCCAACTTGTTTCTACGCCCAGATTGGTGAGTCTGACAGCGGCTGGGACAGAGAAAAACATGTTTTTTGTTGTATTTCACCTGCAACCAGCTCTTTCTCTGACACCAATTTGCAGCAATATTTATCTCTCGGCCTCTGGCTACGTCGCTCTTCAGTCTTTGGGGTCAGAACCCACGCGGGGGAGGTGTATCAACAGGATGAAAAGACTAGAAAGGACTCAGTATTTCAGAGTTAATATCCTGAATCAAGTTCAGTTAGAGCAGGGGTCTCAAACAGGCGGCTTTCTGTGGCCCCCTAGTGGACACTAGAGGGACATGTCTGTGCAGCCTCCACTGAGAGTCTGGGCTAATATGGCATGTTAAACATCATTTTAAAGATGATTTTTATCAGGAAAACAGCCACCGCATCTATACTACTATAAACATTCAGCCTTAAACGCATGGAGTAAAAACCCAGTCTACAACACTGAGCCTTTGGTCCAGTTTGGTTTCAATCCAAGCAGCTGGACTCTATACTTATATTCAATAAAAGTAATGATTTGATCTAATTTCCATCTAGATTGTAGGGTCACAAGTGCAAATGATGGGCTATGGCCCACTCCCCACTAAACTGTACTAATGTGTTACATTTGGGTCAAAAAAGTCCCAAAATGCCCGCGGCCGTTGCTGTTGTTGTTTTGTTCCAGCTTGTTTGTCCAGTGGAGGGCGCACTACTTAAATACTGATTCGTTCACGTACTTTTAACAGCGCTCCAGCCGTTTATACGTCCAATGTGTTACGTCCAAAACGCCCAGTTTGTCTGCAGTTATTCAATTATAATTTTTTTGCATAATGTATAATTTAAAATTGGAGATTGATTATAGTTATATCCCCCATTAGCCACGAAATAGTCTTCTGTCCATTCTTTTCTTCACAAAGTCTCCAACACGGCAAGTCCTAAATGTAACTGTGTCCCCAAAAGTTCAATACTATTTTTTGAAAGGCACAATTTTTCACTTTACCTGCTGATATTATTACTGATGCTTATTCTGCTCATACTGTAATCTCCGCAGCTTAAGAGCAATATACACATCTGTAAATACTCCTGAACCAAGTGCAATTATAGCTCCAGAGTTTATTTTTATTTTATTTTATTTTATTCTTTATCTTAATTTAATTATATTGTGTATTATCTTAAATAATGGACCATCTTCCTCTTCTGCTGTAATGTGCGCAATGATGAGACCGAAATTTCTCCACTGAGAGAATGAAGGAATGTCTTTTTCTTGAAATGGTCAGCCCATTTGAGTAGAGTAGAGTAGAGTAGAGTAGAGTAGAGTAGAGTAGAGTAGAGTAGAGTAGAGTAGAGTAGAGTAGAGTAGAGTAGAGTAGAGTAGAGTAGAGTAGAGTAGAGTAGAGTAGAGTAGAGTAGCTCAAATCCAGTCAAAACAGTTTTATTATCTGGATTAGTACAGCACTGGACAAGTCTGGTGAAAAGACTGGAGACGATTTATCAGAATATGTCTTCTTTAGGTTGAAAAGACTGGATTGAAACGTCTAAAACCCCAGAATAAACTTTTGAAACGAGTTCTGGGCAGATCACTGTGGATGAATGAGGGATTACAACTTTATCAGAAAACAGACCATCGCAGATCCGTCATCGAGGCGGCGGAAACTGGACCCTGGGATTAAGATAACGCAGTGAAGAATACATGCTGCTGAAATGTCAAGAGAAGCCCGAGCTAAAGCCACTGCTCGCACTCTTGTCCCTGGGTTTATATGCCTCGGTCTGTCACTGTCACAAACAAAAACTATTGTGGAAAGAAAGTGGTCTGAGCCTCATGTATTCTGAGACAAGAAGTTTTTATCTCAGTTTTTAAAAACTATCTGTTCTGGGGGTTTTAAGAGTTTCAGAAGTTTCTTAACGTCACTCAGATTTAAAAAGTGATCAAACGTGTTAATGAAACTTGAAATACAGCAAAAAACAATTGGTTGAGCGGTTAATTGCAAACTGCTGCAAGTAAACAGTGTGTTGCTATGGTAATTAGCATAAACTAGCACTAGCACTGGCTTTTCTCTGGTGGAAAACAAAGATGACTGGACTCAGAACCAGGACCAGTCCAGGGCCAGTCCAGGCCCAGTCTAGGGCCAGTCTAGGGCCAATCCAGGGCCAATCCATGGCCAGTCCAGGACCAGCACCTTGAGGAAAGCGGCTTTTACTACCATAGAATACAAGATCATGTCCTGTATTTAGAAAAATAAAAGATTTTATGAATAACATGTAAATAAACTATAGAGTAACAGAAAAAGTCACAACGTTTTATAAAGAGCACAAATGCACATGAGTTAATTACAGTTTTAAACTAAAAGCGGTCAGATGAACTGCTCAGAGAGGATGGTGTCTTCAGAGCCCTGTATGCACTGGTCCTGTTGTGAGCCAACAGTCATTAGTATCATGTAAACATTCCAAACAGCTGCAGTCACTTTGACTGTTGTTCTTGTTGTTGTGGACAGTGACACTCTTCACGTACGCAGCTGCTTAACGGTGATGGATTCTCCAGGACGTTCTCTGTCCCAGCTGTAATCTCCCTCCTCCTCAATAACAAAACAAAAAAACACAGGAATATTATTCAGCGCGTCTCCGAGGAACGCCGCGCTATCATCCGCCAAAACAAATGGAGATATTTTAGCAGAGTGCCATTAATCGCGGCTCTATCGGGCGCGCTGACAGCAATGGGCACAAGGGCGGCTCGTAAATCTTCCAAATACGCCGCAACGTTCGCCATTTCCTCCTGCCTCAAACTTAACTGATGCTTTTTATAGCCCCGCTCTGAAACTCAACTTAGTTTTGGTGCAAATAGTGACAAGAGTTGAGAAGTACTTTATGAAGGGTCTGCGGCCAAGTTCACTGCAGCAAAAACAGAACGGGGTCATTCCTCACGTCTTGGTGTTTACTGGTGATTAGTTTTTCACTACAACCCAGAGCCCAGAGCGCAGTTTGAGCAGTTTTTTGGAGGCTCTCCAAGATGTGTGTCCCAGGTCTCTCCAACATGTCTTCCCCTGGTCTCTCCAAGATGTCTGCCCCTGGTCTTTCCAAGATGTCTTCCCCTATTCTCTCCAAGATGTCTGCTCATAGTCTCTCCAAGATTTCTGCCCTAAGTCTCTCAAAGATGTCTGCCCTTGATCTCTCCAAGATGTCTGCTCCTGGTATCCAATGTCTGCTCATTCAGATCAAAGGCCTGTGCTCATTGGCTCATGCTCATTAGTGACA